ATAAAAGAGGGTGACAACGTGACGGGACATTAATGTGTGTGTAGATAGTGAGTAATTGAGTCAGAAGTATTGTTGACGTTCGTTGATATAGCGTTTGTTATAGAGCGACTGTTGAAAATAAGTGTATCGTAAAGTTGTATTTGGAAAGAATAAGCCAGTTTTATTAAGTAAGGACTTGTGTCGCTAAAGTTTCGTCGGAACGAAGTTACGGAAAATCAATTAACAAACGGAGACGTAACACATAAATATTTGCGGTCTTTTGTTTGTATAGTACAGCTTTATTTGATTTTTTTTATAAAAGAGTTAGCACAAAGGATCACATATAAAGTGTAATAGACTTAAAATAAGACAAAACTCTAGTGCTTTCGAATAGTTGACTATTCTTTGTTCTCCTGAAGAAGAATAGTCAACTATTCGAAAGCGCTCGAGTTTTGAGTCTTATTTTAAGTCTATTACGCTTTATTTGATATGTTAGTATTAGGTCGTCAAGAAATTAATGTCGCTTTTTTCAGATGAAAAAACCCGAACAACTCATATATCAAAACAAAACATTTATTAAATGAAAGTCTCCATTCTTAGCGATGATGCTTTCCCATCTAACAGTCAGGTTGTTAATGCCCTGATTAAAGAAATCACTTGGCTTTGAAGCAAAAAACATGTCGATGTCCTCTTTAACACCTTCAACATTTGCATAACTTTCCCATTAAGATGGTGTTGCAACAAACGAAAAAGATGGTAATCTGATGGTGCCATATCTGTAGAATATGGTGGGTGGGGGAGAACTTAAAACCCAACTCCATAATCTCGTGTTGGGCAAACATACCACATGTGGGCGTGCATTGTCGTGGAGAGGAACACCTTCCTGATTGACGAGTGAAGGGCATTTCTGATGAAGGACTTGATTTAAACGTTCGCATAGAGAATCCATTTTTCATCATGGCTGACAATTCTGTCCAAAACTGGTTCACGCTCATTACGCGCCAGAAGAGACGAAGCAACGTTCACAAGCTGGAAACGATAATCATCGGAGAGTTCGTGAGGCACCCAAACACCTTCTTTATGGGGTTTCCCATATTCCTTAGATGTTTATGTATTGTTTCATGAGAGACATTCAATATGAGGGCCATCTCATGAATGTGTTGGTTTGCTTTAGACTCAACAAGCGCCATCACAGTTTTTAAGGCTAAAGTCACCTAAACGAAATATGCTGAACCATCGTTGACACTTACGTACGTTCAAAACATTTCCATAAACTTCTTTGATATTCTTTGTGGCTACAGAGGCGTTGTTTCCCTTTTTGTATTCAAACAGCATTACATGCCAAATTTGTGTCATCACTATAAGGGATTCTACTATATAGGCTACACTAATGTTACGTTTAAGTGGTTTATTTAACTATTATACGTTATGTACGTTTTTTTTTTTTTTTTGGAGGGGTGGTTAATGAAAGTGTTCCAAAACGCGATATTAATTTCTTGACGACCTAATAGTTTTTATTTGCTAATGTTAAGATAATTCATATGCCTTGGTAATAAAAATAAATAAATGAGCTTCGTTAAAATTCATAGGTCATTTTACTTGCCCAGAAAATAAATTTATAGTAGGGTTTGTTTGTTTGTAATCAAGCACAAAGCTACACATTGAGCTATCTGTGATCTACCAACCACGGGTATCGAAATCCGGATTCTAGCGTTGTCTACAGACATACCACTGTGCCACTGGGGGGCTCCTAGTAGGGAAATAAACAAACCATTATAAAGCTTTTCATCAGCGATGAATATTTAAGTATTTTTACTACGAGTTTTTGAATACAGTAAGAAATTATAATTTTTTTCTGTTGTTTCAATATATCATGCAGTTTACCGATAAGAAAAGATATGAAGTAAACTGAGCTAAACCATGCATATACGCAGGAGGGGTTCGAGGGGGTTTGTCCGAACACCTATTTTGTGATGTAAAACAAAATGCTTATATTGTAATAGCGCAGCTACTTATGGTATTTAACGTTTTGAATGTTTGTAGATTTTATGTGAGCAGTCATGATTTTGTTTAAGCTATATTTTGCTTCAGATTTAATCTTATAGCAACCATTTTTTATATATTTTCTGTGGGACATACCCCCAGACCTTCGTAGCATTAGTATGCTGATTATTTTTTTACACAATATGTGTTGGCTTTTGATCTCACAAATTAGTAACCCCGTTTTCATGATAGAAAAAATATATAGATTAAAAAAAGCTAAATCAAACACAAAGAAACTTCAGAGCTTTCGACAGGTAGCCTTGTTTTATTCAAAGTTAATGCCCTGGTATGGCCAGGTGGTTGAGGCGCACGACTCGCAATCTGAGGGTCTCGGGTTGGAATCCCCATCCCACCAAACATGCTCGCCCTTTTAGCCGTAGTGAGTTATAATGTGACGATCAATCCCGCTATTCGTTGGTAAAAAAAAAAGTAGCCCAAGAGTTCGCGGTGGGTGGTGATGACTAGCTCCTGTCTTTCACTGCTAAATTAGGGATGGCTAGCGCAGAGAGCTCTTGTGTAGCTTTGCGCGAAATTCCAAACAATCCAACCCAATTCAGTGTGAAAATGTCATTTTATTCGCTGATGTTTTTTTTTTATTACTTTTAGGCCCTCTGCTGGAAATGCTTATACTTCGTTGCACTACAGCTTGGAATTTCGCGGAGAATTGTGGTCGTTGTTAAGAAGGAGCTTATCAAAATGAGGCCTAAGGGTACAAGTGAATGAAGAGTGAACTGGCGATGTAGTATTCGTCTTTCATTTCTTGAAATATGTAACCTTAAATTTATGACAAATGCGTAATTATATAATTCTACGCAGGAAGAACATGGGTTCGGAGCGTTAGCTTATGTTGATATAGGCTAATTTAATTTGTAAAAGAAGTTTGCGACGCTATTTACTTTGTTCCTTTTCGAGTTTTTGTGTTGAAATTGAACAATGTATGTTATTTACTTATTGTGACTTTGTATTGATTTACAAATACAAATTAGTTTACAATCACAGTGACTAATTTAGTCAGTCAGAAGTACTAAAAGTTAGTAACACCAGCAGTACTGTAAGTGTAACAGTGTATGTTAACTGAAGTTATGCGTGCAGAATATTCATATTTGAACTGAGTGTGTTGGAACAATCTTCACTCCAGTTATTACTATTAAATTGGCACCAAGACTTAACGATAATATCAACTTCAAAAGTATACTATACGTCATAATGATTCGTATTCATACTCATTCAAAGTTCATTACTTCAATACCCGTTTGATTGGGCTTGAGTTTGAAATTGAATTAAAATTATAAATTCATAAACCATTCTGTCTTACTTTAGTCTGAGAAGAGACAGAAGTTTAAATTTAAAAATAATGGTGTTGATTGGGAAGATAATACTAGTAGTAGTAATAGTTGTCTGTATGAAAGTTTCATTTTTCTGTTTCTTTTGAAATTCAAAATACTTAAGCTTATTGTTATGTACTACTACTAGTACCACAACTGTGGTCTGTACTTGCAGTCTCAAGTTTTAAAGAGTTGTTATAATGTGTGAATTCAATTTTTTACACTGATTACAGTATTGTTGAGTACTATATGACTACTAAGCCTAAGAAATATTTTTTTTTACAATTATTAGTGTTTAGATTTGCTAAACTGCACACTTTATCATGTGTAAATGTATGTTGTGAACATAAGTAATAATATGATTAAAAAGGTAAATTAAACTTAGTTTACATCTTAAAATTAGTATTTTAAACCTAAAAATATTTTTATTAATTATTTTTTCAAGTAAACATGTCATCCCGAGGAACTTACTATAATAGACCTAGAGGAAGAGGAGGAATCAAACCTAGGGGAAGGGGTTATATCCCAAGAGATAGAAGCCGAGGAAAACAGTTTAATAAATCTTACCATCGTGATGACAGATATTACAAATATAGTAAAGAAAAGTATGAAAGTTTGAGTAGAAGACATGATAGGAGACAGTTATTCTTGCATAGCAGATCTCGGTCTCGTTCACATAGCCATGATAGGCCTAGCTATAGCCATTACTCTCATGGACGTTCCAGATCAAGATCACGGTCGTATTCTAGATCTCCTCCTTATCATCAGAGTCAATCTCCTTCATCTTCTTACCATCAAAGCCATTCTCCATTTCTTCAGCATAATCATTCTCCATCACCATCTCAAAAATCTGAAGAGAGAGAATTAGTTGGAAGACTTAAGCCTTTTTCAACTAGTAGTACTAGTAGGTTGCAGACACCACCAAAACAATCAAGAAAGTATCAAGAGGTAATTATAATTTTAAAAATGTGTATAATTTTATTATAGGTATAATTGGAAGTTTATAAGTTAAAAACCTCTCATTCCATTAAGGTTGACTTTAATAGGTCAAATGGTTTGCTGTTCTTTTCTTTCATCATTTTTTATTTTCTGAAGTGTTGTATCATATTTGTAAATGTTTCATGTTTTATAGATACCTCTTAAGTAAGTAGGCTTAAAATATTTGCTAGAAAATCAAATAAAAATTTTCCCTGTTTGTGCTACTTCATTAGTCAAAATTTTTGAAATATTTTGAAAGTTAACAATTGAAAAGAGTAATTTCTCTGAAAATAAATATGGGTTTTACTTAAGAAGGTTGATATTTAAGGAAATGTTTTACCTTGAAAGAATCTTCATGAGTTGTCAAGCGTTTCAAAATTGTGAAGAAGAAAAAGATATTTGTTCTGAATGAGATCATCAATTACCAACTTCCATATGTATGAGTATGTATCCATAAACCTTTGGATGACTTAAGATTATAGTAATGGGCTAATACTATTAGTAATAGTACAACCATTCCTTGAGTTTATAAAACTAAAAGTAGTTTACCACAAATATTTTAATCTTCTTCCAATCTTTATCTCTCACCACTCACTCTCAAAAAAACCTACTATTGAACAGCATCATTTCAATCATCTAACAATCTTCTACATTCAAAAATTGCCTCTAGATATTCACATCATTGAAAAATAACCCAAGTACAATGTAGCAACTAGAGAGTGAAGATATTTGAGAGCTAACACTTGAAGTTTTTTGAATATCTCGTTTAATTTTAAGAAACTGATTAATATTCTTATTCATAGTTATTTTGAGTAAAGAACAATATAAGTTGATTTTATAAGATATAATGAATTATTTTTATACTAAATATTATTAGCAGTATTAAGCCTCTAAATTATGACTTTGTTACCCAAGTATTACTAATTAAGATTAGATTAGGCTTAACAAGTGTACCACTACTTTAGTTGCAATTCAGCTCATCAGTAAGTTATAAAACAGACAAGTAAATTCTGTTAAACATAAATAACACCCATAGACTAATTATATGTCAGTTCTATAATTTAAGAATAAACTTAATTAATGTCAATATAAAGTAGCAATAAAAGTAAAATAGTGGAACATAATTAGTTCTCAAAAATTAGGCTTCACAGAGTTATCAGTAAGCTTCTTTTATTTATAGTATTTATGGTGCTGATTATTAATTCCCATCTTACTGTGGTTAAGAGTAATGTAGATGTGAAAAGCTTATAGTCTGTAGAATGAGATTGATGTAAGGAAAGGATTTGATTGGAGAAATCTGGCCTTGCATGCACTTAAAAAGAAGATATTTTTGAAGATGTACAATTTGTTCATAAAGTGTGCAGGTTGAAGAAGAAATTGGAGTTCTAAATTCATTACTGGAAATAGAAAAAGAGAAGTGTAAGTTGTGGGATATGGCAACAGAATTTAAAGAGAAACTAAAGCTTTTACTTGAAATGGATACAGTAATTAAAATTAGCATTTAGGAAGTTAAATATTTAGGGCTAGAAGTAGTGAATTTAATTATAATGAGCAGGTCCCATTTACTCTTTCAGTACAGGCTCAGCCCCTGGGACCGACCTCGTAACCATTTTGTGCTTGTTATAATTTTCATGCTATTACTTTTAAATTAGTAAGCGTATATTAATGAAATTTGGCAGATTATCAGTAAACGTTACAATGCTTTTATACACAAAATATCAGTTTTTTTTTTATTAAGTCTTAAGATTTGTAAAGCAATGTTTTTCTTGTGCCTTTTTTTCTTTTTGCAAGTTGCCTATCCAACATGCAAAGTAATTTTTATTTTAAGATTCAAAATGTTTTTATGCATCAGAAAATTTTAAAATTTCACATGCAAAATCTTTATAATATCCAGATATTTATCAAACATTTCTTAAGAAAAAACTTTATATTTTATATGATATTTTCAGTAATGAACTTGTGTACAGGTTCGGTTGACTTGCACGATCTCATAACCACCATAAAAAATTAGGAAATAAATATAAATGATGCCTCTTGCATTCTAGAATGACAGCAAATTATAACATGAAAACATAAATGTTTAGGCTAAATAGCTTAAATCTCATAACATTATACATTTATATATATTTATTATATTTACCTTTCAGCTGTGCTTGGCTAACAACACAGAAGTTACAGTGATGTGGCACTCGTGTTATTGTATCCAATAACATAAAACTGACCTTTAGTCTTTACAAAATAACCTGTCTTGGCTGTGTTTTAGTAGACTAGTATTTTGTAAAATACAATTATTTCAATTATTATACGTTATATATGTATATAGATTATTGTTATTTTGAAATAAGTTCTTAAACTTATTTTTTTAAAACATAGAACAGTCAATAAAGAAGTAAAGCAAACAATTATCTTTTCTAGTTACGACCTTTGTGCTTGGTTGCTGCTTGATGTAGTTTGCTAAGCCTTTTAAAATTTATAATTAATAACATTTGTTGGTAGAAAGCAACATTTGCCCATTTTTTCAGAAACTGGTAACTGTAGAAGTACCTCAGTAATCACATAGATTTCTTATATTTTCTGTAAGTGTTTATGCATAATTATTATTGTCAGTTTTGATGCAAGAGCAATGCAGGTAGTTAACATATATACATTTTGCAAAACTTTAATTTTGGTGAAACTTTTTGTTCAGATTTTTCTAAATATTGATAGTGGGTGAATGAAAGCAAAGAATAATGTGTGATAATATGTTAACCACACTATATCTACCATATTCAGTGCTGACAAGACACTTTGTCCAGTAGGGCTTATCAAACTGGCTGGGATAGAATAGACGTATTGATGATCTAGGCACTATTTATATCATCAGTTGCATGAGTAAGTGTAATGGTGTGTTTGAATTTGATTAAATAATTGCAATGTAATTATTAACACTTTTTAGAACTGGGCAAATTAGTCCTTTACCCATGAGTAGTAATTACATTGATTAATGTCTTGCCACTGGTCTTTATACTCCCACTAAACTCCACATTTTCCATGCGGTATCGCTGCACTGTAGCATACGAAAACCCACCACCAATTGTAGTGTGACACATTCTCCTAGTGCAGCTGACTCCCTATGTGCAGTAAAACACAATCTTCACTTCTCACTCGTCACCTTTTTTGTTTTTTTGGTGTACAAAGTTTATGAACTTCAAAAAACTTCTTCACTACTTTTTTTTGTGGACTTGAAAAATTTCCCAAGTTATTTGTTTGGAATTTGTTATTTAGTGTATTGTATTTCAAGTGAATTTCATTTTGAGTAATTTCCTTAAATGACTTATTATGAATTTATAGTTCCATGTCTCTACTACTACAGCTTCAGACACTATCAGTGACCAACAACCTAACGTGATGGTATAAAGTCCATTGTTACTGGCTGAGGATATTTTGGCCCTTTTGCAATGTGAGATGTCTTCTTTCATGCAGGCTGAGGGGCCTCCTGACCATCAACCATTTTTCCCCCCTTCTTGAGTGACCTGGAACAGGATATTGATGATTTGGACAGCCTTTTTCCTCCTCTTTCTCTTGCTGTGGTCTTTGTTCTCAGACTGTGGATGCACTATGACCTTCTTCTTTGTTTTTGGAGTTAGTTTCACAGGTATGTTCTACATTGTCTTTGTTTCCCATGTCTTATTGCCTTCCCTTTTGACAAAAGCGTCTACTGCCAAATAACTTGTTCTTCCTCCCTCACCTAAAATCGTAGTCCATGCTGAGTGCTTTGCCCAACAGTTGCATTCAGGGGTCAACATGTCATATCCCCAATGCATGGCAGAGGTTCATGCTTTGGCTTACCACCATCTGGCATATTCTTTCTGGATACTCAACATTTGGATTCACTCCTTCCCATTTGGATGTCGGACTCTGACACTTCTATGCATTTTCCATGGGCACAGGTTTCCCACCTTTGCTTGACTTTGATATCTCTCTTTCGTTACTTTTCTTCCATATGCCTTTTGTCTGAGGCTATCCATTATTCCCCTGACAGGTTTTTGGCAGATGCCCATTCCCTCTTCTTCTCCATGTAGGTGTACTTTGGCTCTTTCCTTTCACACTTGGCTTCTTTGTTGTTTAGACCTCTTAGGTCAGGATGCCCTCTCTTAACTCATACATCTCCCCCTATCTCTTTGCATGACTTATGCATGGCCCCCTTTTTATGATATTTGGGGGTCTTCCTGTCTCTTTGTAGTCAAGAGTGGAATCTGCTCATTTGCAATCTTACCTCTCTTCTCTAGCTGCTTGTTTATCACAACCTTCCCCTACTCCTGTTCCTGTGTCATGCTGTACTGTTGTTCACCACTGACTCACATGGTGCCAATGGTATAGGTGACTGTCCTGTTGGATCAGGTCCAGATTTTCACTTTTTGCAAATATTTGGGAGTAATTTACCACTGACCCTTGGGTTCTTCAGATCTTATCAGAAGGACTTTCCCTTTTCCCACTTCCCATATCCTCCTTTCCTGTTCGTTCCCTCCCTCCTTGGGATCCTCTGTCTAGCTAACATCTTTCCGAGGCAGTACAGGATCTTCTATTCAAGGGTGCTATAGAACCAGTAGTTCCTACTCTTTCTGGTTTATATTTCAATTTTTTTTATAGTCCTCGAGAAGACCAGGGATTGATTTCATTATATCGATCTCTCCTGTCTGAACTATTATTTGGTAATTGCTCGGTTCACTGTGGTGTCTTTCCTGTCTCTTCATCTGTCTGTTCTCACCCTCCGACTTCACACATAGCTTTTGTCCGGTCTCTTGCCCAAAATTCCAGACTTTCCACTTGGGTAGCATCCATTCATTACCACTCCATCTGGTCCTCTTCCTTGTACTTGTACCAATGTAAGTGGTGTATATTTCCTGTTGGTCTATTCATCAAGGAGATATCCCTTCCTCTTCTTCTGTCCCTCGTCTTTCTGACTTTTTTTATCTGGCTTTTCAATAATG